TATCATTTTCGGTATAAACTTCAGAGTATTTTCATTTCAATTGAAAGGGGACGTCGCACGCAGAAGGACATCTCCTAAGGGCCAGACTGTCGAAAACGGAAGTCCTGTAACCCAGAAGAAACTTCACATGCTGACATCAATAGTCGTATGATTGTGCTTCCAATGCCATTATTTCGTCCAGACACGTCGGAATCTCCTACAAACCCTGCAGTTCGGACAAGAAGGACGACTCTCGGACATAGATTGGCATCTTATCTATCTGAGTGTGCATGAGCAAATTGTAGAAAGGACGTCACGTTCGTATCGTGGAAAGCTTAGCCTCAATAGAAGAAGTGGTGCGCGCTTAATATCATGGCAGCCCATCTTGGCTAGATTCCCACTAGGTTACCTCAGATTGAAGGATCTTGTGTCAGACGGGCCGTGATGAACGTTGCCCAGATGTAATTCGTGAATACGAGTGATACGATCTCGGTTATTCAGCCTTGGACAGAGGCTACTCAACATCAGAATAGTGATTTGCTGCTGCTGCACCTTGAGATATAGCCATAAGTATTGTTCTCAGCGACTTGAGCTCAACAGCACGAGAAGAGGGTAGTAATCGCATCTGATTAGCCACGACTCTGGAAAACCATATGGACTGCAAGTGTCTTCAGATATCAAACAGAAGACGTCAAATTAAGATTGTTAGTCGCAATCAACAGGTCAAGTATATGTGCAGGGTTGAAATGCTCAAAAAGGCTTGGTCCAAGCAGCGAAACCGAAAGGAAACAGAAAATCGTTGCGAATACGAGATAGAGTGGGCCAGGACAGGTTGGTAGTAGCTCTAGCCAGACCTCCCTCTATACCTTCACCAAGCGAGTCTAGATTGGAGTAAACATGTTTCAACGCACAAGAGTGGGCCCGCTGTTCGGGATTGAGATCACCTCACCGTCTCGCCAGATAAGGCGCAACTACCCAATCTTGTGAAGAGAGAAGACTTCTAAATTTAAAAGCTTGGGAGAGCTTGTGATATTGATAAAATGATTGATTATGCACAAAGTACTCAGAGTCCATTTACGAGCAGGGGTTATTCCATGGAGGGCTGGCATGCGGAGAAACTAAAGTAACTGTCGGGGGTTCAGCAATCATTGAAGAGGCTGTAAGTGAAACACACCCCAGCATACTACTAGGGTTGCAGAGTTGTACTTGGAGATGACAACGCCTTCCAGGCGGTTGCGATACCCATTTAGGCACCGATGCGTTAGCAGAGCGGAATTTTCCTGTGGTCGAAAAATGGCATTCACAATGGAACTACCACGGCGGCGAAGAAAAGACTATTATGTGGAGGTACATTGTCAGATGATGCAACGCGGGTGATAGTAAGCTGGGGTTGTGCTGACCCCCCGGCACCAAACCCCGGGCTGTTGCCTTGGCGGATGCGACATCAGAGCGGGCTTTCCGAGAGCCTGTAAACTGCCTTTGCAGTGCAGGAGATGCTCAAAGAATTGATGGCGTTGGCACTCTATATCTTGTTAGATATTAAGGTACGTAGGGGTTCCTGCATTGACGTGCGGCCAATCCCGCACCCCCGTTACACCTAGAGGGATCAGTTTCATCTATTTTGTTAGGTCCTCGTGACAACGCTCTCCCCATTCTTCCGTCCATCGCATGTCAGATAGGATCACCTCACATATGGATTTACTTTCAACTACCGGGACTCTGCATCTGTGCTGTCCATCTGCTTACCTTCCAATACTCCCAAGAAAGAGCTACTGCTCTGAAGGGTATTCCAGTCCGATCCGCGCTCTTCCACCGCGACTGAACAGCAGGAAAACCGGGAACGGTTCCGGTCCTTGGAACATTGTACAACCAGGAACATGACTCTATGAGCTTGGAAAACAGCTAGACGTGAAGAGCAGATCGTCCCCGGCCCACGTGTGTTGTACTGGAATCTTGCCGAAACAGGAAAAAACATGGAAACCCTCATGTCAGCACGGTCGTAGAATTGTGGGGTATGCTTCTGGAACTTGAGCGCATTCAGAACAAGGCCCGGTAGTCGGGAGAACACGACGGCAGATATCCAGGATATTACCTGTTGTTTCCCAGGCCGTTGTTCGAGCGGAGACAAATTTGCCGATGCAGGCAATACAAGTGGGTTAGCGACGCGACGCGTGATTGGCGATTCATATTAAATTCTCCGTTCAGGACCTGCTCACATGAGTAGTAGGTGCCCCCTCTCATGAGGCTGGGATAGAAATTGCTCGAGCGGTCGCTTCTGGAGACGCCGTCGGAATCTAGGGAAGCATCGCGACTGATGGAGGACTGGATTATATGAGGACCCACTGAAGTTTTCCCCACCGTCTAAAGTCATGATCCTAGACCATGTGGAGTCGTAAAGAGAAGTATGGAGAAGTACAAAAGGTCGAGGATACGCACAGGGAAAACACCACGCATCACAACAAACAATCTTTTCAAGCCAATCAACAGTCGACCATAAACCGCCCACCATGAAGGTTGTATCGTTCATTCTCAGTGCTCTGGCCTCCCTCACGGCCGCTCAGCAAGCCACCCTCTGCAAGGACTTTGAGTACTACTCCAGCAATGGCTACGAGCTCAACAACAACATCTGGGGCCGCAGCTCCGCCACCTCTGGCTCTCAATGCACCTATGTCAACAGCGTGAGCCAGACTGGCGCCAAGTGGACCTCCAACTGGCAGTGGCAGGGTGGCCCTAACAACGTCAAGAGTTACGTCTACTCTGGCCGTCAAATCACCAAGAAGCCCGTCAGCCAGTACAGCAACCTCGAGACCGAGGCCTACTGGGTCTACGACACCTCCAACATCCGCTGCAATGTTGCTTACGATCTCTTCACCTCTGCCGACGTCAACCACCCCACCAGCAGCGGTGACTACGAGCTCATGGTCTGGTACGTCTTTGCATCATTCGATTCTCTAGCTTTCCACTATCACATATACTAATGTTTGGGAATTATAGGCTCGCCAGGTACGATGTGTACCCCATTGGATCCTCGCAAGGGATGGTCAACGTCGCTGGCCGCCAATGGGAACTTTTCTACGGCCTCAACGGCAACATGAAGGTCTACAGCTTCGTCACTCCTTCTGGCCCCGTCTACAACTTCAAGGCCAGCATGAAGGACTTTTTCCAGTACCTCGCCAACAACAAGGGTTTCCCTATCACCAGCCAGAACCTCATTAGTAAGTTTTTTTTTTCCCCAAGTGATGGGTTGGCGATGATGATGCAGAAGATGCTAACAGATATGATAGCCTACCAGTTCGGTACTGAGGCCTTCACCGGTGGCCCCGCCAAGTTCACCGTCAACCAGTGGTCTGCCAACGCTTACTAAATCAGAGAGAGAGAAATGCCACTAGGTTTCTTTCCCGCACGGAAATTTGCCCTTTTTGGTTTAAAAATCCTCTGATTGAGAGACACCACACACACACACACACACACACACACAAACATAAACAACACAACTAAAACAAAGTTTATACGAGCGGTTAACGATGGAAACGGTGTACATATTCGAGATGCCTTGCGCTTTTCTTCTTCTTCTTATTCAACCCCCTTTTTAAAACCTTGTATATATCTAACCTAACATTTTTTTTTTTACCTTGTCCAAAGAAAAAAAACCCCCCTTCGATCAACAAAGTCAATGAACCGCTCTCGCCTTGCACACATGCCTACCATGAATATTTGTTCGTCACACGAAAACGAAAAACACCGTGGACCCTCTCCCCCCCCCCCCCTTCCTTTCCCATCAGCCACACCCATTATACAAAAAAAACCTCCGAACATCCGCAAACAAACCTTTGCTCAATCCAAACCCTCAGTTACTCTGCCAAAGTATATGCCCCCAACACCACATCCCATTCGCCACAAACACTTCCCCCCCGTAAATCTCGCTTAGCCCCTCAGTTTAAGCAAAAGACCACATGGCAGCCCCGCTATTGGCTACCAACAGCCAACGCACGTACCCCCGTGCGTCCGGACGCTACGAGTGCCGACGAGCGGAGCGAGGTTGCCGGGTTGGCGGGCTTATGGGATGAGCCAGTTAATGGGCTGGACGTGGTATACGCGGACATCTTGGGGGTTTGCTGCCGGAAGAGGATGTGTTTCATGTTTTGTGTGTATGGAACAACCCTTCCCCCCCCCCCCCTTTTTTTTCTGGTCGGTCGGTTGTTTGACTGTTTTTGGGATGGGCATGGTAGGTTGACTTGGGGAAGGGGAGGGTTGATTGGGGGGTTGCGTGGTTGCGTGCTATCGAGTAGGATAGGATAGACGGGGAAGGAAAGGAAAGGAAAGGAGAAGGGTAGGGATGCTGGTGTTTCGTGTTTTTTTTTGTTGTATTTACGAGTGTAGGTATGGACTTTTTGTTTTTGTTTTTACTATACTTCCTGTCCGTTTCTGCTCCTTCCTTTTACTACTATTCCTCTTTCCCCTTCCCTTGTTCCTATTTTTTCTCTTTCTAGAATAGACCTAGACGTCACGTCACTCCTTGGGTTTGGCACCTACACGAGATTCCTTCGTCTTTTGTTTTTCGATTCCGTCATCTTTAGCACCTCGTGGTTTTCTCTGCTTTGTCTCTCACGCGGACGCGGCACATGGAGAAGTTGCGACAACAGGTGACCGCGTGGAAACTGTGCTAGCAACAAGACGTCATTCGGAACTTTTTTTTTACACATCTACTATTATTTGTACAACAAATACGGCTCTCGGATACATTCTTCTTCTATTCGGCAAAACAACCCATTTCAGACTGCAAAGGACAAGTCGGCTGGCTACGCTTTGCTTGTACCACGTTCCACCAACTCGACTTAACAAGACGTTATTTCTCGACTCAAATCACCTCGCTGGTGCAGTTGTATTTTCGACTCTCGATTTGGATCAGAGGGGAGAGAAAGGAGGAACTCAACAACTCGGACCACCATTATCACCTTCCACGATCGAATCGCGAACTCAATCCACACACACACACACACACACACACACACACACCAAACATGCTCTTCCTACCAACCCTCCTCCTCACATCCACCCTCGCCTCTCCCCTACCCTTCTCCAACTCCTGTACCCCCACCAACCTCGTCCAGAACCCCTCCTTCGAATCCAACCCCTCGGACCTTTCCCCCTGGCTCTCCCTAGCCACGGGCTCCTTCTCCTCGCGCACCCTCTCGCGCGACAACCCGGGCGGCCACAACAGCGCAACCGCGTACATCGCCTCATGTAATAGCAGCGCGGATATCCTGTCTACGCTTACACTGTCGCAGTCGTATATTGAGGTGGCGGGTGGAAAGACGGTGGAGTGTTATGCGTGGGCTAGAGCGGGGAAAGGAGGGAAGGGAGGGGCGAGGGTGGAGGTCTTTCTTGATGGGACGAGTTGTGGGGGTGTGGTTGAGGTGGGCGAGGGACAGGAGGAGTGGGTGAAGGTTGGGGGGAGGGTGGTTGTGCAGGATGTGGGTGCGGGTGGTGTGGGACATACGGTTGCGGTTACAGTACAAGGGTATGGGGCTGAAGGGGATGGGGGATGGAGTATTGCGATTGATGACGTTGGGGTTGGGGTTGGATGTTGATGTTTTTGTTTTTGTTAGAAAAACTGCGAGTATGGATATCAGGGACAGGACCATTGGAGAAGAGAGAAAGGAGTACGGCGCTAAGGATACGGAGGCCAAGCAATACTAATCACATAGTAATAGATACCGGCACATGGTATACATACCATGCTAATAGATATTTCTTATACCCTTGATTGGGATTCCAATTTCCATCTGAAACCTTGACATCAGCATAACTCCATAAATCTTGTAGGCGATTGTTGCGTATGGACTTGAATGTTGCTTTGGATATCTTTTTTTTTCTTCAAAATCAGCATCCCCGACTGAAAGGGCATGAAGACAGTAGAGCCTATTTTAGGCAGGCAGTCTAGAAATCTATTCGTAAATAATCGTGACAAAAAGACACATGATTGCGAGGCCCCCTTGGTAAGTATAGAATAGATGTATAACGCCATCAACAAAGCCATGCTCCTCTCTAATCAACAAAGAGCGTTCCCAGTATGCGAGGTAATATCCCAAACGAGGGTGGCATGTTTCGTACGCGATCGTGTTGGACAAGATAGCGGACGTGGTATTCAAAGTCTAGCTCGCGCCCGTCATCCGCAAATGCAAATTTGGTGTAGGAAATAGCGCTTAGAAAGCACCATATTCTTGATTTGGCGGTAGGTCATAATTTTCCTCATGGAGACCTTTGAGTGCCTCCTCACCATCTTTGGTAAGGTCCGGCTTGCCAACAGGCGTGACGGCTCCGGTGAAGAATCTTGGCTGCCACTCCTTGTCGGCTGCCTTGCGCTCCGCAGCCTTTTGCCGTTGCTTTTCTTCAATCTCGGTCTTCAGGGTGGTAGCCACGCTATATTGCCTACCTACTATGGCGTTTGTGACACCCTCCCAGAATTTGAGAGACTCGTTGGGAAGTTGCTTCTCAATCGGCGGTACGATCTTGGCGACAGGGTCGAGTGGGTTGAGGTCGATGATGAGGTTCTTCTCCTGCTCAAGTGTTAAGAGCTGGCAGCCAAATCCCTATGCAGTGTGCACTTACGGAGACCTTGGAAAAGGGCTTGCTTCCGAGAGTGTAATAAACCTTGTCTTGCCAGCTGCCCTCTATCCGGCCAAGAACGTCTTTGTCTGAAACATCCTTGATCTTTGTTATGGTGTCATTATTTGGGTCATACTTGAAGATGACTCCCATGACCTTATTTTGGGACCGACCGAGCCAGCCTTCTTCCTGGTACTCTAGGATGACCTTCAATCCGGTCTTTGGGCAGGTGATGAAGCAGCTGTCAGCGACGGAGACGTTCAAGGAGCCTGTTCGTCCGGTCAGTCGGTTGGCGCCAATTCTAACAGCGAGCACATACCTCGTAGGATACCTCCCAGGTAAGCCGCTGGATGGGTGAGTTGGTATTCCTCGTTGTCGCGGTTCTTGAGGGTGATGAAGATTCCCAAGTTGTGAGCCCCAGCTGCAACACGCACGCTCGTGCCAGTAAACTTTGCGCTTATCTGATCATATCCTCGTGCGCTGATCCCCTTTTCCGGGCAATCGACGTAGAAAGCTGAAACCGGGGGGTGATGTGATGTCTGTTCGGTAAGGTAGGAGACGGTCACTTTCTTGCCACTGCCTTTGGTGCTACTGGCAGCGCTCGTGGGAGCCGAGTTGGGCGTCTTGAGCGTAGGATGTGTGTCTTCGATTTTCCAGTTACACTGCAAGGGTTAGCAAGCCGCTTCATCCAAAGCTATTCCAGCCACATACCCTGAAGAACTCGCCCAAGGTCGAGTTGTAGGGCTTGCATGGCTTGCCCTTGACGTATTTCTGTGCCAGTGTTAGCTATGGCGCCGGGAGTTGTAGGTGCATCATACCAGGTCCTTGGTGAACCAGAAGCGCAGGCAGCCCAGCATGCGACCGAGTTCGTCATCTGAGTCTCCGATGCTGCACGAGTCAGTGTCTTCTCTTGATGGGAGCAGGTAAGCTGCACTGACCTGATGAATGTGTCGGGTCTGTCCAAGTAGTGCCAGTATTCTGTTGTGCCATCAGATCATGTGCATCGTGGCCAGCTGTCTGGTCTACATACCCAAGTTTGGTCGGGGCTCGAGGAGTTGTGCGGGAAGAGAGAATCGGACAGCAGCGAGGTCGGAGACGCCAATAAACCTACAAGCAGCACACAGTCAGCCTGGCGAGGGCACACAGTGACCAAGCGGTGCAACGTTACCTCCTCAGTATGCCCAAGAACGTCTTGAACTTGGAGCTATCGTCGGGGGCCTTTTCGGCGGCGGCGTTTGACGGGGTAGGCGCTCGGGAATTGTCGCCAGAGTTGAGAGCAGACGCGGGTGCCGAGGCCGACTGGGCCTTCTCAGGGGCGAGGTCCGCCATGGCAGCGTGGCGTGTATGTGTATGTGCGGTCGTCAAGATGAGTGGCCTGGGGCGGGGACAGAGGCCAGCGCTGTGTTGCGGAGAAGAGTCGGGACGTGGTTGGGGGTTTGGTGTTGAGGCGGTGCGCTTTTGCAATGTTCCTAGTGCTAGCGCGCGCGCGGAGGAACTGACTGACGTAGCGCAGCCGATAGCCTTGAACCTTGCTGCGGCGGGGTAGGGGCCTAGCCACCCGTGGAGACGACGCCACTCGCCCTTGGTGCACTCGTCCTCGTCCTCTACATACACTTGCCCCCTCGCACCCGCTCTCTGCACACTCGTGCGCATACAAACACGCGCGCTGCAGCACGCATCATCATCACCACCACCACGCTCGCATCCACGGCCTGGACAAGCGCTTTGGTCACACGGTTGCCGGTCCGCTTCGCAGCGCTTGGCGCGCCGTTATCGTCCATGATGCGGTCTGCGGCACGACGAAACATGCAATAGGGTCATGCACTGTCAGATCGTGCACCCCTTGATTGGATCTACACTCGCCCTCCACCGCCCCCGACCATGTTTCACCGCACTGTGGCGTCTCCAGAGTTCCATGAGGCGTGTGAGGGCTCGCCGCACATGTTGCCCACCCATCTCCGCTACGCTCCAAGTGATAACGTATCCTGACCTTCAGCCCCTGCCCACATGGGGCTAATGTCTGACCAAAGAGATCGGCACTGCAGACGCCCATCCACCCACTAGCACCAAGTGCCCTCGCAACAGTCTCGTCAGTCGTCCCAGTCTCGCCAAACCCCAATCTCACACGCCTGCGGAGTGTTGACATACATCTCCACGTCGTACCACTCCTCCACCGGTCCGCTAGGGCCCGATAACCTGTCCAACACAAGCCACACGTCCCCCTGCCTGCAGTCCATCGGGTCAATGTCGACGCTCTCGGACCGAACCGTGGCTGAATCTGCATACTCCCCCTGTTCGCTAGCAATGATGATTCTGCGCTCTGGACCCCGTCCCAGTTCAACACTCAGCCGCAGCGGGCTGCGCGCTAGCTTGCCCAGATCCATTGCCCGCGGGCTTGTCGCCTTCAAGAACCGCGCAATGATTGTATACGAGGCCAACCGGTGCAAACGAAGTGGTGCAGCCACCTTGTGTACGTGTGCACCAAAACACGCCGGAGCAAGCTTCATCGAGAGCAGCCCTGCTCCGTCCCGCGCTATCGCCGTCAACCCTACCCGACTGCTACTGTCCACTCGTAGTGTATAGTCCCCAGTCAGTCCCGCTTCAAATAGCGAGCAGATGATGGTATAGTATCCCGGCTGAACATCCTGGATCTGCGCAAACACACATCCACTGCGGTGGTTACCCGAATCTGCAAGCACATCCCGGCTTTGTAGTCGATACAGCCTCTTCCCGTGTCCATACGCAAGCTTGACGTGTAAAGGATGTTCGTGCTTTGTGCTCGTAAGCAGAATTGCCAGCGAGCCGTGTTCGCGCACATGGAGTGAGTATTGCGGATTGTCAAAGTAGTTGGGCGAGTCTGTTCCGCCGCCTGCCGACTGTCTTGTCCAAGCTCCAGTTTGAATCTCTTGCAACGGAAGTCGTTGTGTCGCCGGTTCAAGTGTCATGGGCGTATTGGCAAATGCCGACAGGGAAAACGTGTACTTTGACCGAGGCAAGTCATCCTGGTCAATCACCACCGTGTACGTCGTATTGGCGTCCATGTCGCTGCGGAGGAGACATTGAGGTGTCGTCACGTAGTCGCTCGATTCTAGGTACGTGTCCTTGATGTAAATCCGCTCTCCATGTCCAGTGCAGATATAGATGCTCATGTAGCCCTTTGGTGCCTCTCCGCTGCCGCCAAATTGAGTGTCATGGCGAACACTGCCATCGTTGAACACGTCTGACTCTTCCTTTGTGCTTTCCTGTGCATCCCGGAAATGGCGGCTCAAAAGAAGCCAGACGGGCCCGGCACCTTTGCATGTAAAGGCAAACTGTGGATTGTTGACTATGCATCCGGCTGGTGTTGACGTGTTGATATCCCACTCGAAATGGATATCTTGACGATAGCGAAAAAGTCCGGGATTCCAGTTGAGATATAGACTCTCGAAATGCTGTATGACCTGCTCAAGCCCTATCCAGAACGTGGTTGGGTGAGGCCGGTCTTGTGTCGGAACGCTGTCCCGGTGATAAACCTCTGCACTGGTACTGGGCTCTCCAGCAGTAGAGTTGTCCATGGCAGCTACGGCAGATGGACGAGGTCCACGCCAGCCCTTGCCTTCGATCCATGGATTCTTGACGAGCAACAGCCGGTCGTGGTCCATCTCCTTCATGTCGAGTATGACATAGCTGTGTTGGCCCTCGAGTCCAAATTCACGCTCTTGCTTAGTTGACATTTTGCCTGTGCCTGCAGTTACCAAAACGTCTCCATACATGAAAGCGTTGTAGATGCGCTTCCATAACTGGTCAGGGACTGTGTCCGTCCTGCAAATCAGTCAGCGTGCCTCAAAGCAAGTCTAAGAATACATGTAGCATACTCTTGTAGGAAGACTTGTTCCGGAATCCAGCCAGTCATTGCCCATAGGTCACCACATGAGTTACTGCCGGGAAAGTCGTAACCGCCGCGGACTTTGAGATAGGCCTTCTCGAGCAATGCTGGCCACAACAAGGCTGGGTTGCGGCGGTCGATGACGTGGAGTACCCGGTGAGTTTTTGAAACGGGCAGTCGGTCGTCGATGACAACTTTCCTCCAACAACCGTTAAAGTTGAGTCGGACAACATATTTGCCATTTGACGATGGCACTGGGTTTCCACGCTGTTTATCAAACGGGTAAAGCTTGTTGGTGAGAATCTGTATCGGTCAATACCAAACCTGCCTGGGGACTAGAAGACGGACCTGTTCATGCCCACGCTCTGAACGAGCAATACCAGCACATAGACTTGTGACCACTGAACAATCTGAAGCCGCATCCTGTACGAGATCCAGAGGTTTCGAACTGGACATTAAAGGCCCGACGCTCTCTGTGCCCTCGGAGGATAGTGAAGGCGGTGGTACAGCTTCTTTCGCCCGCAGCCAGTCCAGGAAGAACTGCTGTTGGTATGGAGAAAGACTGAGATCACCCATGTCGATGAAATCGCCGTCTCCATGACGTGAAGTGAACTCGTCCGCGGATGGCTCCTTGGTCCAGGGCGGAAATTTGAAGCCATTGACCATGGAGGCCTTTAGCAAGATGATTTCCTCCCTCTTAGAGAGCTGTCTGCTTGACACTGGCTCGCGCAACTTATATATCTGAGGATGGGAAGCTGCCGCTCGTGAAGGAGCAGCTTCAGTCGCATTGGGCAATGCTGAGTGAGAAAGTGTGCTGGCAGCATATGGTTGCGAGGACGACTTTAGACTTGGGTTAGATGCACTGTCGACATCAAAGGCGTTACTGGGGTTGGTATTGGGGCTATTCTGGTATGACGCATCGGGCGTCGAGGCAGAGGAAACACCATGACGTGAAGAGCTTGACTGTGTAGTAGTGTCTTGGAAAGGCGATGATGGATCTGCTGTTGCAGCAACTTGCGTGGCCCACTGGCCTATGTGGTGGCTTTTGGAGGAGTCATTTGACTGTGGCTTCGCAGCTTGTGTCCACGTCCCCGTCTTCTTGATGCGGTCGGCAACATTCATGATTTCGCCACATTGTGCTTTGAGCAGTTTCCTCTCATCCTGGTTTGACGACAATTTGAGCGCTTTCATAAGATTCTCGGCTGCGCTAATGGCCAAAGTGAGAGCCTCATCTTTGGTAGCAGCCGTATCCAGTTGAGAGCGGTAGTTCTAGAGAGCCGCACATCAGTAAGCGGCGCCGTTCAAGGGTCACTGTTGTAGTGGGAGGACTGGCTGCGATATCACATACGCTTGCAGCAGCTTTGCAAGCCTCGAGCTGAGTGGCCCGATCTGCCATGATGAAAAGCACAAAACGGAGCAAGGGAACAGGGATTTGGTCAATACGGCACGGAGAATACGAGACTACCTGCAGTGAGTCATGCCGATAAAGTCACCGGGGATTGAGGTCAGATGTAAGCCAGAAACGGTGATGGTGTTGTGGTGTTGTTGGCCGGAGAGTTACAAGGTTTAGCGCGACGCACGCTCCTGCCCAAACGAAGTCGCGACTGCCATGTGAGCCAGACACCAACAATTGGGGGGCAGGCAGGGGACGATATCTTTTTTTCCCTCTTCCTCAGCCTCTAAAACGATTCACTTTTCTTTTTGCATTGTTCTAGTGATAGCGTCTAAACTTATCAACTCCAGGTCCAATAAGAGGTTACGCTGCAGACGCCTCCAGTATGTCGTCATGCATAGGCCCGAGACTGAACCTCGGCCTCTGGGACCTCGGAAGAGGTCAGCCATGCCTGCGACCGCGCTATCACGTTGCGGAGCGTCACAATCGTCCCTTGCCCACTTTTTCTACACCTCCGATACTGCCATCTTGAATCTTTACTTGGCCCCTCTGCCATGAAATAACTGCAAATACACTCCAAAAACACCGCCACTCCCCAAAGCCGATTGCGTCTCCTGTCCATCAGCACAGAACGCAGGCCGTCGCTCCGATAACCGCTTCCCGCAACCGCTACCATGGGCGGACAGTCCAAAGTAGAGACCCTACCGCCATGGGGTAATGCTGTTGCTGGCGCTGCTGGCGCAGTCATTGCGAACACTCTTGTCTACCCATTGGATTTGTGCGTATCTCTGCCAGCGTGCCCTCTGGCTGTCTTGAGGCACACGCTAACACATTCCCCAGGATCAAGACGCGGTTACAAGTCCAGGTCAAGCGCTCTCCGACAGCAGACGCCACCACCAATCCTGGTGATGACGAACACTACGATAGCGCGCTCGATGCGATACGAAAAGTGTTTGCCCAAGAGGGCCTGTCTGGTCTGTATGCCGGCATGGGAGGTGCGCTGCTCGGTGTAGCTTCCACAAATTTTGCCTACTTTTACTGGTACACAATTGTCCGCACTCTCTACATGTCCAACCGAGCACTGCAAACGTCGCCCGGTACTGCTGTCGAGCTTTCGCTAGGAGCCGTTGCCGGCGCCCTCGCCCAGCTATTTACTATCCCCGTTGCGGTAGTAACAACGAGGCAGCAGACTATGAGCAAGGCAGAGCGCAAGGGCATGATTGCCACTGCTATGGACGTAGTCAACGGTGAAGACGGTTGGACCGGTCTCTGGCGAGGATTGAGGGCGAGTTTGGTTCTGGTTGTCAACCCCTCCATCACATATGGTGCCTATCAACGGCTGCGCGAGGTCTTATACCCAGGAAAGAAGAACCTGAAGCCTATGGAGGCCTTTCGTAAGTTATTCTCAACCCTGGGCTGCTGTTTCTATGCAGTGTGAACAAAGAAAACTAACACGCAACAGTTCTCGGCTCGCTTTCCAAGATGATGGCAACAATCGCGACACAGCCCCTAATTGTCGCAAAAGTTGGCCTGCAGTCAAAACCACCGCCATCCAGGAACGGCAAGCCCTTCAAGTCCTTTACAGAAGTCATGCAATATATTATCGAGCACGAAGGTGCCATGGCGCTATTCAAGGGCATCGGACCCCAGATTCTCAAGGGCCTGCTCGTCCAAGGCTTCCTCATGATGACCAAGGAGCGCATCGAGCTTTCGTTTATTCTGCTTTTCCGCTACTTCAGACAAGTGCGCGCTCAAAAGCTGCAGAAACTGGCAAATTTGGCTGCCGAGAAGGCGGGCCAGGCAGCTCCTGTGCTCGTCAAGTAAAGAAATAGAGAGAGAGAGAGAGAGCGCGCGCTTTATGTCTGCGGTCGAGATGTCTATGCAATCATTTCAGGTGTACATATACCCTGGTTTGGCCCTGGTCTTTTTTGTTTGTTTGTCTTAAATCTGCCGTGTTGCGCTGGCGTTTAGATTTTGTTGGCTGAAGCATATTACGGATTTACATCTTTTGTTAGCGGAATAGAATCCAACAAACGTCTTTTTTCTTTGGAGATTTTCCACGTGCTTAAACATTCGCTTTGCGAACGTGTTTTTTTTTACAAATAGATGTACATGCGACTAGCATTCTCAACAGCGTAGACATGAAAGAAAGCTCGGTTTAAAGCATTTAGGTGCGTCTCTAAGTGGAGAGATACATTATGCTGCGAGGCAAACTAGCAGTTGAAAGCCTCGGCATGTTTAGTCTTTACATGTTTTCGAAATGTCGCTCAAATTCTGCGTCAACAACTTACTACATACTATAACGGTCTCCCTAGACATTACGGAGCTAAGGGTAGAAAGATAGTTTGGAAGAAGAAAAAAAAACGTTACACAAGGGGTGTATGGGCCTAGACTTTCATCTTACTGTAAACAACCCAGCGCTTTTCCCATGCAGTGTAGCTCTAGAACCGAACATTGTGCATGCTACTAAGCTTGCGTAGAAGCATCCCTTACATCCAAGGGCGTATGGGATTTCTAGTCAACTAACTTGTAGATTTTTCCATCCATCTTTCATGCCGAGTGCTACGCTGCCATGTATTAACCGATTTGTAAGAACGTTCGAACAAGCACTGGAATCTTGGCCCGTTCATTGCAAATAACCGTCAATACAGTGGGATGCGGTAATCGAGAACCGTGGAGATTCAATATCGGTCTGTCTTGTTCGTAAGTCCAGCTCGTGTCGCTCAAGAGATCTTATTATGAGTACAGGGATACTGATATCAAGGGTTTGATAGATATATATCCACTAAAGTAGACGTTGTGGATACGCGGAGGTAGGTGACAGTTGGTGACGGAGTGTTGGATAGGGGCTGGCTTCGTCGTTTACTTGTATTATTGCAGGCATGTGGCTTACTTCCTGGTGCCTGGTCATCCGTGGTATTTGCGACTATTGTAGGTTACTACTAAATCAGGCAGCCTGTTTAGCGTCTGTATAACTGATGTCTATTATATTTGCGTACACTAGGGGTGCAACTATATTTTTGTTCTTCCTAAAGTAAATGTCAAGAAACACCCATCACATATCCCATTCCCCCTTTCTATATTATACAAACCCGGAAGAAAGAAAGAAAAAAGGCAGGAAACCCAGGAGATATATCTCTAAGCCTTCGGTTTGGGCACCTTAAATGGATGCGCCTCTGTATTAAAAACCCAGTCATCAAGACTAATAACGCTGGGCTCACTGAACGTAAGATAGAAATACTTCAGCGTTTCCGCCATCCAGAAGCTCTGTAACATCATCGTTAGCTCAAAAACACTAATAGTGCTCGCAAAGCAGAGCAATTGAAAGAGGAGAGAAAAGGGGACATAACATACCTCCATACTATCCTCCCTAGGCGGCTGTGGCGCCGAAACATCCATCAACGCCGAGTTCCCAAGATCCGTATCCGTAGACTTGATAATCGCATTCCACATATCCCACGCCGCAGCCTGCCACTGCTGCTCACCCGTGACGCGGTACATAACGAACACGCTCTCAATGGCTTCGGGGCGAAGGATATAGCGGCGGTCCTCTATAGATGTGAAACCCGGTGGAAGACGCAAGTTCGCGATATTCTTCAGTGGATCCTGCTCTTTTTCGGAGGCGGAGGTGCGGGCCATGATACCTTTTTTCCATGCGGATTCGTCCCAGGAGCATGTGGTGGAGGAGGTGCAGAGGAGGAGGTGCGATACTTCGGGCATGATGCCTGCGGGAGATGCGTGGTAGGCCCACACACATGTGTCTGTGAGCTTGCGGGCGATTTGTAGATGTTTTTCGTTTGAGAAGAGGCGGCTGCCGAGGGCGAACATGCCGCCGGTATAGCAGGCGAGGTGCTGGAGGACGGGGTCGAGGTGGGGGGTTGAGTCTTCGGAGATGGAGACGAAACCTGAAGCGAGCATGTCGTAGTTTTCTGGGTTGGAGGGGCGGAATAGGATGTATTTGGAGGCTGTGTTCATGGCGTTTTCGTACATTTTGTGGTAGGTGGTGTCAAGGCCGCCGAGGAGCATGTATTCTTTGGCCAGATACTCGTATGCGGAGTCGGCCATGCTGCCAAGGGTGAAACTGATGTCTTGAGTGAAATCGGCATTTCGTGCATTTACCATTAGTGGCCACATGCCTGGGAGTTTTGTTTTGCTCTGTTGGGCTTCTAGAAGCCGGGATATTCTTGCTACTGCATCGTACCATTTTGGATCGCCTGTCAATTGCGAGAGGCGCGTAAACTCCATAGTCATACTCCCAATTTCCGCAAGGAGAACCTGCCCGTCAGCTGCTTGGGGCTTGCCCTCGCCCCCAGCGCGAAACTGCCATCGCGTAATGGGCATGTGGTTGGGTGTGTCGAAAGCATGGTACAGCATTTCGCCCACCTCTTTTGCCTTTTTTAGCAATCGCTCATCGCCGCTGAGTTCAAAGGCTGACAAGAGACCACCCAGGTGCCGGATGTTGGTCTCGAACACATTGACTGTTTCCAAATCCGTGTATCCAAAGTCGATGCGCTCGACATCCTCAACAGCCGATGCGAATTCCTCTTCAAAACCCATAATGTATAGCGTGTCGAGCGCGTCGATGAGGGTGGCGGCCCAGCCTCCAAAATGGTCTGCCACTCCCCCGCTTATGGGACGCACCTCATCATGCATCCATGCATGGCTGCGGTAGGTCCTCCAGCATTTGAAGAACTGCTTCCTGACTTCTTCTCTTCTCGTTTCGCGGATGTTCTTGGCCGTAGCGTCTTCGGCCCCAAACTTGAACTGGATCTTGGGTAGCGCTTTCGGTTCGCCGGCTGGTAGCGGAGTGAACGACTCGATGCGATTGTGGAACGGCACCTTGGCCCAATCAAACGACGGGAACTTTTTTGTCCTTTGCGGCTCGTTTGCGTGCGTATGTTGATCTGGATGTTGTTTATGCTCATGCTCGTGCTCGTGCTCATGCTCATGTTCGTGGTGGTCCTGGTCGCCGACTATGACCGCGTTGTCTGAGTCCTCATATGGCGTCTTGAGACAGTAAAGAAAGTAGATGAGACTAAAGCCCATGAGGACATAGAGAGTGTAGCGCCGCATCAGCGCCATTCTGTATTACGATTACCCACGACTCCCAGAGAAGGGAGGAATGAGGAGTGAGGAGAACGCGCAAGAAGCTGACTCCATCTTACATGGACAGATTGTGGGGGAAGCTAATGCTTGCCTCTGGGATGCATTGTCCCTGCCAAGGCGGTGCCCAAGGCGGCGAGCCCAGCATCCCTGTCTGGTGGCGTCCGCTTAGCTACGAGGTAATCCAACAGATACGGACTAGTTGGTCTGCTACTCGGCACCACGGCACCAAATACGAGAGATATCGTAATTCACGTAACCAAAAACTGCTACAGTCTACAGTCTATAGTCTTACGAAGAACTACGCAAAACAATAGTTGATTGTCCACGCAATCATGTGTGACTTGCAAAAAATAGCACTTGAAGTTTGGGGCTTAGCAAGCTTACATACATTATAATAGTGCATTTTCCGATTCCTTCTCGGGTACCAACTTATGCATGGTGACATTACTGCTAACCTATACACGTGTTCGAAAACTAGTTACACATCCAAGAAAAGAAGAAAAGAAACCATGTCATGTGCTCTATGTGAGTCCGACAAGCGGTGTTAACAAAAGAAACTCCGTGTTCTACCCTACCGGATAGGACGCTTCCAAAAGACTGTTGCTCAGAAATCGCTGAGTCGAAATGATAACTTGAACTCTTTGCAATCATGCAAAGCTCCGTAACGAAGATGATGATGATTTTGGCTTGAGACTGAACGGGCAGCTCTCCAGCGCTTTCAACATGTTAATGACGTTGCTCTCGGACAACTCGGTATCTTGCTGTTCGCTGGGCTTCGACACACTGTCCGCCGAGTAGACACTGCTTACACTTCCTTCACGCAAGCGGGACAGAATGTCAGGGAAGCTCATGGATTGCCCTTCCTCTTTTCCGAATACAGTGGGAGGACTCGAAGTTGATTCGGTTATTTTAGGCATTCCTTCTTGCCATATCTTGGTTTGTGGGACTGGTGCATCCGCGAGAGTGGGTGACGCCATGGTCTTGTCAATTCCAGGTTCAGAAGCAGATGATTTGACCTTGAACGGCGCACCGCGGGTGATTGAGCAACCCAGGGTATGAGCGGCAACAGTTGGCGTGACAAGTACTGGTACTGGCGGCTCTACAACTGCCTGGAAGGGCACGCTTGGTGGAGCATTGCTTGGTTTGCGTCCGACTGGAAGAATTGAATACGGAAGAAAATCACTCGCAGTCGAAATTACTGAACCTGTTTCAGAGAGTGATGTTGTAGGTGATCCCGGTAGTAGATAGACTGGTACCTCATCACAAAGACCGAATGGCGTCTCCGCTAGCTGTTTGTTCGAACTGGAACCGTCTGGTAGTTGAGGTATATCAACTGGCAGACTTGGAGGTGACTCGGTGGCGTCTGACATGAATATAAACTGTCTGTAAGATGCTGCTTCCCGTTCGGCCGTTGATGTCGTCCGTCTTTTTTCTGTGGGCTCATTGAGTGTGTCAGGCTGCTGGCCAACTTCAAGAGATTCGCTCAAAATACACTAAACAAGAGTTAGATAGTAAATCAAAGACTGTTCAGCCCACATACCGAAGGTGTCGATTGGCCCGAAGCCAGATTTGGGTTTGGAGAAGGTGAGAAAGCCGAGTCGATACGACCAGACTCAGTTGCAAAGAAGCTGTTCTTTTTCGAAGCCCGAGAAACCTTGGGTATCTCCAGTCCAAACATCTGCTGATTATCCTCGCCGTTCCAGCTCTTATGAGAAGGAACCGGTGATGATGGGGCAACAGAATGCTCTTCTGATCTCAAAAAGATGTCGGTGTGGCCCCTAATCGACGAAGCGTTGAGAAAGGCATCCAGCTCGGGTGTGACGGGTGCAAAAGTAGATCGAACTGGCGAGGCTGCTGAAGTCTTCTCTCTAATATCACCCGATTCTTCGAAGCTACCCTTGTTCGCAGCCATCTCTTTCAGTTTTCGAATGTCGCTCCTGTACCCCTTGATATCAAGCTTGAACAGTATGATTTCGCGCACATAAAAGTCAATCTCGCGACGCAACCTTTCGATCTTAGCTTCGGGCGTGTCAACAGTAGCTATATCCTCGTCATTAGGCCTCTCTCTCTTCAAACGCTCATGAAGCTTCTCGATCCAACAATCAATATCTGCTCCCTTGGCCAACGACCTAAGCTCCGGCAGAGGCTGTTCTTCTTCTGCAACAAAAAGCTTCATCGCTGTATGCTGTCGAATTTCTGCTTGCAGCAAGATCTTGTGGTACTCGAGCTGCCTCGTCAATGTATGGATCGCTTCTTCATTTTCCATGATTGTGGATTCACGGTTAATGACCGCATTCCGGAGTTGTTCGATCAGCTTGTCGCTTGCGCGAGTTTCTTTTAGAAGCTCATCTTGAAGATCAGATTGGACAGCCATTCTCTTGTGCTCTTGCTCAAGTTGGTTGATTTTTCGTTGTAGCTCTTCTCGTTTCATTTCCAGTTCAGCTACGTATACATTTTTCTCAGCAAATTGAGCTTGTAGCTGCTCAATTTCCGAGGTCGATGCATCCAGCGCGGGGTTTTCTGATCCCAACACTTCTGAAAGACTGGCTGATTCGCTAGAAGTCTGGGTACCAGTACTAATTTGGGTGCCTGAAGCTACGCGACTCGTACCCGGTGAGATGCGTAGTTTGGCCGGAGTGAGATCAAACGGCGACTTCTTGTCTCTCCAGTTTGAGAGCTGTTCTTCAGCATCCAATCGTTTAGCATTGGCAATTTCCAGGCGAGCCTCAAGGTCGGCAGTAGTGTTTTTCAGAGCATGGATTTTCTCAGTGAGCTTGTCAATGAGCTTGTTGGCATGCTTTGCTTTCTCTTCCCACTCGGCACTTTTCGTTTCTATCAGATCCAGCGTACTTCTCAGCTTTCGCTCGCTCTCGTTCGACTCGTTTAAATTTGTCGTGAGTGAGTCAACCTGTTTCTGAAGAGCAGTGTTGTTTCGTTTATATAAGCTGAGTTCCAAATGTAGGTTCTGGGTTGCTGTTTCTAGTCGAGGAGAGGCGAAAAGCTTGCGTTTCAAATTTTCCTAATGAATTCGTTTTAGTATAAATATCAAGTGCGTTTTTTTCCAGGGACTATTACCATTTCAAGGGCATTCATTCGATGCATGGGTGAATGTGTCTTGCCCGTCAATATCTCATCAAAAGACGTGTCTAAGTCTAGAGATTCGAAGTTCGTCGGCTTCTTCATCGTACCCTCATTGACTGGAACATGTAGCCAGTCACCGCTTGACCCTATATATGTTTAGTCATTGGACTTTCTGTGATATCCCGAATGTAAAATGAAGAGCCCCCCGTTGCTCAGTATCACAAAATGACAATCGAATGTGGCCTCTGTGGGCTAACTTCGTGATAAAACAAGGATAATCATACTTACTTCGCTGAGGGTCTTTCTCATTCACTCGTTCCTTGAGCAGCCGTGCTTGGTTCTCCAGGGAAGCAACTTGCACCGAATGTGAACGTTTGAGTGTCTCCACATGGGATTCATGTGCGGCCCTTAGGTTGTCAAACTGGGCTTGCAACATTGCTATGGTTTGAAGTTGGCTAGCGTTGGTCGACTCCAGCTCATGGGCATGTTTGCTCTGTGTTGATGTTGGGCTAGTTTGAGAAGACGTCTGTAAATAGTTAGCATGCTTGGGAGCTCAGTTGTAGCATTTGACGAGAAAATGGTATCAACGTAAATTCTCATAATACATCAAAGCCCCAGAAGATTTCCTCGTGCAAGACTTTTGTAGGTCTCGCCGACTTGCGCATATGAGAAAAATGGAAAGAGGCTCACCGCTTCTTTATAGCCGTGACGCTTTTCAAGACCTTGATCGGAATTTCTGCCGTCTCTTTCGACAAGGTCATACTTGGTGACGGTCGGAACCGACTTCATCAGACCTGGCTCTGGACGTTTCTGCAAGGTAGTGTCGGTCAAGGAGTGATTTCGCTGTAATCCTTGAAAACCAGACTGAGAAGCTGTACTGGGAATGGGGATTTTGCTGGGGCGGGCTGTCTTTGCCAAACTGTATTGGGAATGCAGATGCGGGACGCTTCTGGCATGGGCCAATGTTGGTATAGCCGGCTTTGGTATCTCCAAAGTAGCGACCTTCTCGCAGGCCGACTGTATTTTCGGGTGATCACTCTCATTCTGAAGGGCCTGGGTTGGATTTGTCGCGCGAATAGGATCACGATACAAAGGATAGCCTTGGCCTTGTAAAGAGGTTGATTCAGGCAACTCAGCGGGCAACTCTACCAATGATGGCACCGATGCAGAGCGTGGCCTGCTGGGAAGGGGTTTGTCCACAAAAGAGGATTTCGAGCATAGTGTGTTTATCGATTCTGGCGAATACAACATGTCGTTGACTGCGACATGCAAGTTACTGACTGCGCTGGCCAGTGCGGTATCGTACTGAGCAACACTTGTACTGGATCCATTTTGCTTGCTGTCTGCTGCTGTGGTTACAAGCTTCGATGGCCGCCGTTTCAGCGTATCGAGTAGTCCCGTCCGAGAAGAAGAGTCAAGGCCACTGTGGCGTTTAGACCAGGAGAGAACAGGTTTGGCTGGCATTGTGCCGGCCCGGGGCGCAATGCAATCAATGAGGAAATTGTGTAGACATGGATAGAAATTGGCAGCTCAACGCGCTCGAGTGGCAGTGTTGGGCAGGAGGTGGAAAAGGGATGGTGCACGAGAGTTCAGCAGCAAGGACTTTCGTAGAGTCTTGTCCGTGGTTATACTGCCTGTGCAATGCGTTTGAATTATTCATTGCGCCCTGAGTCGTGCCTTGGGGCCCGAACACAGGAGCTACACCATACTCTGAGCACAATGCCTCCATGGGCCAAAAGGGCCCGAATCAAGAAGAGACGGCGCCCTATCTTGCTTTTCGACGTGAATACATGATAGCCGCCGTATACGGCCGCGGTAGCTACACAAGCGTGACAAAGGAATGAAGGACATGGCAGAGAAGTATGCACGTGGCGTGCTAGCGCAAATAAGTAGCGCCGGGCCAGGGGGATGAGATGCAGCAAGCTCGGGCCGCCTGTCTTGTGTGGGGAAAGTCGCGACCTCGTAGCTTCAATTCTTTTCACGCTACTGCGTCCTTGGTCGCGACTCTTTGGAGTTACCAAGCTTATCTTGCTGCAATCTGCCATCCACGGCGTAATTTCCTAGACGGCTACTTCCTGTTATCCTTGCAGCCTGTCCTCAAAAACCTGGTGATTGTATTTCACTAGTGGAAGAAAAATCGGGCACGTCATCTCGCACTCATTACCGTGCTGCATTGCTAGGCTGCTTGCTGCCAGCAATCGATCCCCAGCATGACGAGAGACCTGTCGCCATACAGCGCACGGCGACTGCTAACTCAGCAGTCGAAGGAGGGCAGGGCGACGCCCGCGCATACTGGAAACAGCAGAAATGAGAGTCCCAGCAGCTTCTCTCGAAACGGGTCGGATCACGCAAGGAGAGAGCCTTCAATGGTATCGGCCCGGCGTTCGAGGAGCAGGTCTCGAGCAGAGAGGCCAAGAGATACATCCAAGGACCACGCGCCCACGAGCCCAGCGATACAGTCAGGCGCTATTCGCAAACGGGGGCCCTCGCCTGAGCCATATAGAAAGCCGCGCGACTCGTCCAGAGAGAGGAGGCGCGATGGATCCAAGAATCGCAGGAGGAATAGGTCAAAGGACAGACGGCGAGACAGGTCACGGGACAGGAGACGTGATAGGTCTGGCGACCGGAAGAGGGACCGTTCAAAAGACAGGCGGCGTGATCGCTCCAAAGACAGACACAGCCGACGAGACCGGTCGCGCTCGAAAGACAATGATCACCGACGGAGGGACAAGTCCAAGGATCGAATACGTTCACGCTCGCCCATACCCTATCGCTCGCGCAAGCCGCGCAGCCGTTCGCCCTCTCGGTCGAGGTCGCCACCACCTAAACGTCACCGACGTACACGTTCCAAGTCTCGCTCACGTTCACCCCCTCGGCATAAGCGTGAGAAGAAGCCTCTGCCTTCACAGGAAGTTTCCTTCCGCGGTCTCGACGACTCTGCCCAGCCGCCGTCGAAATACGGAGGTGCCCCGGCAGACAAGGAAAAGCCCAACTTCAAGCCCACCGGTGCGCTGGCGAAAGCCGCCAACCGGGTAGAAGGCACCAAGATTTCCCTCAAATACCATGAGCCAGCCGAGGCACGAAAACCGCCTTCATCACAGCCATGGCGCATGTTTGTTTTCAAGGGGGATGATGTGGTAGACACGATTGAGCTCTGGCAAAAGAGCTGCTGGCTGCTGGGTCGGTCACACGAAGTCGTCGACTATGTTCTCGAGCACCCTAGTTCGAGTGGACAGCACGCCGTCATCCAGTTCCGGTATATCCAGAAGACGGTTGAAGACGAGTTTGGAGTAAAAAGCACGCGAGGAAAAGTCAAACCTTACATTATCGATTTGGAAAGCAGTAATGGAACGGAATTGAACGGTGAAGATATTGAAGCAAGCCGATACTTTGAGCTTCGGGACAAGGACATAATCAAGTTTGGCGGAAGTGAGAGGGAGTATGTCGTCATGCTGCCACCGGCCGACTCGAAATAAGTAGGTGGATGAAGTCGGGGTAGAATCAGTTTATATGACGAATTAGGGGTAAAGAGCCACTCTCCAAGTAAATAGTGCTAGTCCACCAGTGACAACAACCCAATTTGTATACCGAGAGCGATTGAAGACGTCAATCACCAAACCCCAATGTTCTTGAGTATAACGAAGATGTGCACTGTGCTATGCCCCCAATTCTTCCACATACTGCACGGTTTGATCCCACTCTTCTACCTTGGTATATGGACTCCTCATCCAAGCATTCAACTCGTGTAGAAAGAGCCTGCTATTTTCCCTTCCCAGGAACTCGGCTACCAAGTTCTCCGCATGTCCATGGCTGGCTTTCAGGTCTACCATTCTCAGAATAGACACAATGTAGGACAGTAGAAACTCGGCGTTGTTGCTTGTTGTTGCGCCAGAGGATGAAGAACCCGTAGAATCTGTGTACAAGAAGGCGAAGACGCGGAGTTCGCGTCGGATCCAGGTACGTGCTTTGGACTGCATATCGGGAGAGTGTGCAATCATTTCAGGCGTAATGTCGCGGTATCCGGAGAAGGGATTACTACCCACATGGAGGGAGTACAGTTTCCTGCGGTAAACTTCCCTACGCCTGCGTAGAGCTGGATCTTCAACAGGTGGAGAGTACGGACGGCGAGCGCCTCTCGGTCTTCTGGGTAGCCCATAAGGAGCGAAGAGAGAGCCCGGTCGGTCAGTGCGACTGTCGTTGGTGGAAGGATGACTACAAGGGACAGTATAGCTTTTGTAGTCGGATGGAGAACGCCAGTCGTATTGGACGGCAGTGACATTTGATTTACCTATGTTTCGGTATCAGAAACGGGAGCTATATCATGTGAGTCCGTCCTACGTACATAGTGGGCAAGTTGACCGCTGCTGCAACCATGACACTAGACATACAAAATCAAAAGTGTAATGGTTGCACGGCGCAGTAATGGCTCTCTCTGTGACGGTTGAAAGACATATTACGCATGTGTCTTCCCTGTCGTCGTGCGCAGACCCAACTGTACTTGCTGGCATGCGCTTGTGGTGTTGAAGAAGGAAAAAGAAAGGGCCCTGAATTCCGATGATGAGCTCATGGGTCGGAGGTGCGCTCGGGCCAGCCAAAAGTAGTCGCGACTTCCCTCTTGCACGCACTCTACGGCTTCATCATTCACTCTCCACACTCGCTGCACGTGTATAAAAGCGTGTAACTCACCGCAGACGGTTCTGCGCCTGTTGCTGTCTAGTTTTGCTCCTGCATGCTCTTCTCCGCCACCCGACGCATTGCCTCGACTTGTATCCGACGCTCATTCCCAGTCATGCTAGCAACAGCAACCCGGCCTGCCGTCGCAGGCCCAAATGGAAAAGCCACATACCATACCGTAACGGCGCTCAAGCGGTGGTCATGCGACGACAAGGAACTCCCTCCCGTATCGGAAATCAAGGCCATTCACGTGTACGACTTTGACAACACCCGTACGCTTGTCGCATCCGTGTCGCACGCCCAGTACTGACAACAGAACAGTATTTGCAAGCCCTCTCCCGAACAAGCAACTATGGAACAGCGCCACCATCGGCCAGCTTGGGTCGCCCGACATGTTCCTCAACGGAGGCTGGTGGCACGATTCGAACATCTTAGCAGCGACGGGCCAAGGCCTCGAAAAAGAAGAAGCGCGCGCATGGCAGGGTTGGTGGAACGAACAGATTGTCGAGCTCGTCGAATCATCAATGGCGCAAAAGGATGCGCTGAGCGTGCTCCTCACGGGTCGTGGCGAGTCCAATTTTGCCGATCTCGTCAAACGCATCATACGCAGCAGACGCCTGGAATTCGACATGGTCTGCCTGAAGCCTGCAATTGGGCCTGCAGGGCAGAAGTTCAAGAGTACAATGGAGTTTAAGCAAGAGTTGCTAAAGGACATTGTCTACACGTACAAGGACGCCGAGAAGCTGCACATTTACGAGGACCGAGTGAAGCACACCAAGGGCTTCCGTGACTTTTTCTTTCAGTTTAACGAGGGTCTGATTAGGGCACAAACTCAAGCGTCGCGTCGTCCCATTACCACAGAGGTTATACAGGTTCCGGAAAACGCCACTTCACTCGACCCTGTTGCGGAGATTGCGGAGATTCAGAAGATGATCAACACACACAACATCCAAGTCAAGTCGGGCAACGTTCCTCCAGGCACACCGCCGTATCAAATCAAGAAGACCGTATTCTACACGGGCTATATGATTCCTCCGGATATGACTGAGAAGTTGACTTCTCTAGTCTCCTTACCCCCCGGTGCGCCGAAAGACGATATCCGATATCTTGCAAACAGCATCCTGATTACGCCAAAACCCTGCCCGAAGAGCATACTGGACAAGGTGGGTGGCATCGGCGCCAAGGTCCGGTGGAGAGTGACTGCTGTTTCGTGCTTTGAGAACAAGCTGTGGGCGGCCAGAGTCGAGACTGTGCCCAAAGGCGCAAAGTTCTACTCTGAAAATCCCGTTCCAACAGTTGTCTTGGCAATTCGCAAGAATGGCCGGCCAGCAGATGCTGCACGCATCTCCAACTGGCATCCCGTGCCCCAAGAGCAAGCGTTTGAATTTGACACTGTCGTAGGTGAGAAGCAGATGTTGCGCATTGAAGAAGAGACGGCAAACGAGAGCGAGTATGAGAGCTATTTCCCGAACAAGTCCCATCGCAAGGAGGACCAGAACGGACGCAATGACAACTCACGGTCAAACCCCGGCCGCGGAGGCAGAGACCGAGACGAGAGGCCGGGAGGTTACCGTGGAGGGAACCGAGACCGCGGTCGTGGAAGCAACAGACACACATCCTATGGCCAAAGAGGCGGTGCTCGTAGTGGCCACCGCGGAGACCGTGGTGGCGGTCGAGGACGTGGCCGCGGCGGACAGTCGCAGTATAGAAGTTTGGATGATGTCGACAGTGGCAACCGTGGGCCTGACAATAATCCAGACGCTTTCTACTAACATGTGTCTGATAGTCAATGGGCTTTCTCGATGAGGGCCGCCTGTCTGATTTCAGTCGTAACACTCTCCACCAAACTGCATGGCTTGCAGTATAAAGGGTAGTATCAGTATGACGCTAAGCGGCTTGTGCTTCCAATCGGCTAAACCGTCGGCCCTAAGCTCGGTTGACGTACCGGGTCTGGCACAGCATACATACGCCCTTTTTGCCATGATGAGAGCTCTCCTGTTCCTGTATACATTACTCAAAAGTGCCAGTGCTTTTGTTGTCTTTATTCAATTTAGATACCCGCAATCTCATTCACATGCCGTATTCAGCACTGCTGGTCGATCCACGCCTTGCAAACAACATTCATTTCTCTCAGAAAAAAAAGAGCAACCCGCGATATCCAACAAGAAACAAGACCCATCTCCCATCCAGAGACGAAGGAAAAACCTTATTGAAATGTCGACTACAGTGCTTGTTCCAATTATGACGAATCCGAAAACAGCCGAGTCGAGCATAGGGCTGAAGAAACCAAATCGGCGATGACAATTTTTCTTGCTATGAACCCTTCCAAGCCCACCAACCC